TATACAGACCTTTGTTGGCAGAGTGATGTCTCTGCTTTTTAGCACACTGTCTGGGTTTGTCATCACTTTTCTGCCAAGAGGCAATCATCTTTTGATTTCGTGGCTGCAGTAACCGTCCACAGTGATTTTAGAGCCCAAGAAGAGGAAATCTGTCACTACTTCCACCTTTTCCCCTTTATTTGCCATGCAGTAATGGGACTGGAGGCCATGGTCTTAGTTTTTTTAATATTTAGTCTTAATCCAACTCTTTCACTCTCCTCCTTCATCCTCATCAAGAGGCTCTTAATTCCTCTTTACTTTCTGCCATTAGAGTGATATCATCTGCATATCTGAGGTTGTTGATGTTTTTCCCACCTATCTTGATTCCAGCTTATAACTAACTCATCCAGCCTGGCATTTCTCTTGATGTACTCAATGTATAGGTTAAACAAACAGGGTGCCCGCAGACAGCCCTGTTGTACTCCTTTCTTGAACCAATCAGTTGTTCCATACAGGGTTCTAACTGTTGCTTCTTGACCCACATAGAGGTTTCTCAGGAGACAAATAAGATGTTCTGGTATTCCCATCTCTAAGAACTTTCCACGGTTTGTCATGATCTGCACAGTCAAAGGCATTAGTGTAGTTGATGAAACCCAGATAGATGTTTTTCTGAAATTCCCTTGCTTTATAATCCAGCAAATGTTGGCAGTTTGATCCCTAGTTCCTCTTCCTTTTCTAAACCCAACTTGAACATCTGGAAGTTCTTGGCTCCCATAATGCTGAAGCCTAGCATGCAAGGTTTTAAGCTTGACCTTACTAGCATGGAGGGCTTCCCTGGTAGCTCAGACGGTAAAGCATCTGCCTGTAATGCGAGAATCCTGGTTTTGATCCCTGGGTCAGGGAGATCCCCTGGAGAAGGAAATAGCAACCCACTCCAGTACTCTTGCCTGGAAAATTCCATGGATGGAGGAGCCTGGTAGGCTACAGCCCACGGGATCGCAAAGAGTCAGACACAACTGAGCGAGTTCACTGGTGGTTACTAGCATGGGAGATGAGTGCAGTTGTCCAATGATTAGCACATTCTTTGCTACTACCCTTCTTAGGAATTGGGGTGAGCATTGACCTTTTCCAGTCCTCTGGCCACTGCTGGTTCTTCCAGATTTGCTGACATAATAAATGTAAAAGCTTGATAGCATCATCCTTTAGGAATTTGAATAGTTCTACTGGTATTTCATCGCATCCACTAGCTTTATTAGCAGTGCTTCTTAAGGCCCACTTGACTTTGTACTCTAGAATGCCTGGCTCAGGGTGACTAGCCACACCATTGTAGTGATCCACTTCATTAAGATCTTTTTTATACAGTTCTTCCACGTATTTTTTCCATCTCCTCTTGATGTCTTCAGCATCTACTAGGTTTCTACCATTTTTATCCTTTATTGTGCCCTTCTTTGGGAAGAATCCTCCCTTGATGTTTCCAGTTTTCCTGAAGAGATCTCCAGTCTTTCCCCCTTTGTTGTTTTCTTCTATTATTAAGCACTGTTCATTGAAAAAGGCCTTCTTGTCTCTTCAAGCTGTTCTTTGGAACTCTGTGGTTTATTTGGTGTATCTTTCCCTCTCTCCCTTGCTTTTCACTTCTCTTCATTCTTCTGTTATTTGTAAAGCCTCCTCAAATAACCTCTTTGCCTTCTTGCTTTTCTTTTTCTTTGGGATGGTTTTGTTCACCGCCTCCTGTATTACGGACTTCTGTCCATGGTTCTTCAGGCACACTGTTAACTAGATCTAGTCCCTTGAATCTATTCGTTACCTCTACTGCGAATTCATACAGGATTTGATTTAAGTGGATATTGGTTATGGTTCATAGATGAGATTAATATTATAGCTTTCACGGTGGAGGTTAATTTGCATTAAGGGTCAGCATGAAATTTCCTCACTAGACTGTTTTTCCCACAGTTGAGAGAGTGCCATGTTTATTTTGTCTACCAAACCGTTGTTCATCTATTTCTCCTCCTTTCATCACACATCTTTATCTCCACCTGCCAGCTAAATCCTGTCTTCTCTCTGACATCTCGTCTGGCCATACTGAGTTCTGCTTGTTCAGTCCCAATGTACCATCACTCATATACAGACTTCATCATGTTCTGCCCCGTATTGTCAGGCACTTTTGAAATAGTGAGGTTTTGTTGCAATAAATGATAATATTATGTGCTCCTGGAGGGATAGGATCATAAGTCCTTGGTGCCCCGTGTAGTTCTGGATGTATCTATTTATGATCCTGGAGTATATGTCTAGATGAAGCCATAGGGAGATGATTTGTTTCAATTGCATAATCTTACACACCAGGAAAATGAAGTTGTAAAGAAGTAAATAATTTCTTCTAAGGGTTATTGCTTGTGTTAGGTGTAAAGCCAGGCCTAGTGTTTAAGTGTCCCTGTTTCCAGCTCAGTATAATTTCTACTGTTCCTTCCTGTATTCTTAATTCAACAAATACTTATTGAGCATCAGTGATAAGCACTCTGCTAGACTCTGATACTGTAACACTGAGTTTGTCTCGGAACTTGTACTGTGATTAGGGAGAAGGATACTGACAAATATCATCCGGATAGATATACACTAGCTACTGACATAAGTGCTGTGAAGGATTGTGTAGTTCTCAGAGAGTAGGTAATGGGTGGAAGATTTCCTTAACAAACTCGACTTTGGCTTGTAGGAAGTTGGGTTTATGTATGCCTTTTAAATCAGACAAATATTTGTTGTCTGCTCACTCTGTGCTGGGCCCCAAAAGAAATGAGAGCCAGGAGCTACAGCCCCTTCCTTCAATGTATGGTCTAGAAGACAGTAAGTCAAGAAATGTAGAAGTTCCATGGTTCAGAAGACACAAAGATCACATTTTGGGGGAGAGGAGGAACATTGGGAAAATTTTCCTGTAAGAGACACCATAGGATATGGTGCCTGAACAAAAGCTAAAAGAGGTACGGAAGGGAATAGAGAAGGTCTTCCAGACATAAGAAAAAGCACATCGAGGTAGACCAAGAGAGGGAATTAGAGGAGTTTTCCAACAGTAAAAAGTAATCTCATTTTACAGGAAGACTTTTCAGTTATACAACTGATAAGAATGTTGTCTGTTTCAGTCAACTGAAATTAAAGGTGGAAATGCAGATGTTCCCTCTCGTTTCTCCTCCTGGAGCACATAATCCTGTGCTTTGATTGCCAGCTATATGGACTGTTCCCCCTACCGCCACCCTACCCCTGCACCTCACAGGAACTGTGTCTATGGACTGTTCGTTCCCCCACCCCTAACTCTATCACTACACCTCATAGGAACTGTGTCTGTGGACTGTTCCCCCACCCCCAATCCTACCGCTACGCCTCATAGGAACTGTGTCTGTGGACTGTTCCCCCACCCCCAATCCTACCGCTACGCCTCAAAGGAACTGTGTCTGTGGACTGTTCCCCCATGCCCAATCCTACTGCTATGCCTCATAGGAACTGTGTCTGTGAACTGTTCCCCCACCCCCAATCCTACTGCTACACTTCATAGGAACTGTGTCTAAGTCTTTAATTGCTGTATTACCTAACATTTCATTGGGGTTCAATAAACATTTAAGCATCATCGTGAAAAGTGTCTGCTCTTGCTGAAACTGTTTTCTCTGATATAAGTTCCCTACCTTAGAAACAGAAATAGAATTCCTTCCATATGACATGGTTGGCCCATTATAATGAGTATCAAATTCAGTTTTTAAATACTGCCTACACTATTCTGTGTCATCTTGTAGCTTTTACCCAATTGAAAGAGGTCTCGACCATTTCTCCCTATGGATAGTATAATTGTTTGTCTAAATATTATTGTAGGAAAATGCTGCAGAATTACTTCCCCATTAGCATGTGTTAAGTGGTCAGCTACTGCGTCCCAGGTTCTGTGTAGGAGATGGTGTTATTGGTCAATCTTATTAGGGAAGTCCATGGAGAAGCAAATGATTGGCACCTGATCCAACTTAGCCACAGATAGATACACTTTATCATTTATAGCATTGCCAAGAATAAAAATTAGGGATATTTCATGGAAAAATCTAGATTTTTGGCTTCCCTTGATAACTCAGAAAATCTGGCAGCACTCAGCTTGTATCCCAGTGGCAACAATTAGCTGGAGCTAATAGCAGCTGTCCCTCTTTCTTTAGGGTCAGTGTGCTGCCGTTCCCACCACTCACTGTCACCTACATCCAGCCTGTTCTACTCATTTCTATAGCTTCCTGGCCCTTATAATGCCCCTTGTTTTGGGGTGCTGTTGCCTTTCTGGGCCCCTTCTCTTTGGTTTCCAATAACAATTTCGTGGCCAGCCAGACAGCTAATTATGACCACAGCAACTAGTGTCTGTGTGATGCTTGATAGCTTGCAGTAGTTCTCAAACTTTTCCATGCATCAGAATCATCCAGAGGGCCTCTTGAAACAGATTGTTAATCAGTGTCTCTTCCGAAAAGTTTGATGTAGCATTGAAGGATTGCATTTTTATTAAATTCCCGACTAATGCTGCTGGTGTGTGGACCACCTTTTGAGGACCACTCACCTACTGTATTGTAGCACAATAATAAGCCACATGGACTTGGTGGGATAAGATGTTGCCCACCAGAGATAACTTTTGGAAAGATTAAGCAACTTATCCAGTGTCAAAAGAAGAAGCAGAGTCCGATTAAAACCATGTCTTTAGAGTGTGTCCAGTAGGAGACCATCCTATGCATGCCCGTTTCTGCCTTGCATCTGCCTCCTAACTTGCACAGAGCCCTCTAGAACCCTGTAAATCAGATGTAGCCAGGAAATCAAATTTAGGATATCTCAGGACACAAGGAATTAGAACTTGTTTGTATTCAGTGAGCAAGGGCGGAAGGACAGGGCCCGAAGCTTGACCTTAAGGTATAAGACATGAGACATACCTGCTGGGCAGAGTGTAGCACGCCCCACACCTAGGGTTTCGTGCTTGGAGGAGGTCCACTTGAGCAGGTGGGGCCAGGACAGTCTTTGGTATCGACATGGAGCAATGGGTCCCACAGAGCATAGCACTGGGGATTCATTGGGGAGCCAGTGACATATTTTCAAAGCAGGGGTTTCATGGGAAGCTCTGATTGGCCTAGGCCCACCTGGAGTGACACTTGGAAACAGGACTTCAGGATAGTCAGATTGCTGGGATAGGACAAATTGTCTGGGCAGGGACGAGGTACATATAACAACTTTAGGGATTCATCTTCCAATGTTGGGGTGCAGGGCAGACCTATAGGGCTTCTCACTTACCAGATCTGGCAGTCAGGGTCAAAGTAGAACCAGCAAGAAAGGTGGTTTCTTCAATCTCATCATGTTAGGCTTTGTAAAACCTTATTTAAGTGAAGATTAGTCTAATGACATGGGTTCCCTTCTGTCTTATGGGATGAGAAGGAAGAGAAAGATTGGGAACCAGACATGCTTAATCACAAGGTTAAATGTATTAAATTCTATCTGCTTGAAACTCTATGAAAGGAATAATTAGGTCATCATGTAATCAAGATAGCTATTCACTAACCTAGTTCAGAAGTTTGCATATCTGTACAAAAGCAAGACAGTTTTAATAAATTAGCAGCCATCTGCCTCCAGTTTTCAAGATAATTAGTTATTATATCTGTTGATTTGCACATTTATGTACTGTATAATTTACATGTATACTACACCTATGAGACCTATTTTGTTGAGATTGTTAGGCAGTGGTGTATGGTGGTTAATTTGTAGGTTGACCATACATTTTGATTTCAGTCTTTTTGAAAATTTTTTAAAAGTCTTTTTACGTCTTTCCTGCTAAATGTTGTATATAATGAAAATAACAAAGCCCTTTTTCTGTGTTAAAAAAAATTGAATAGGCTCTTCAGTCTGATAAGATATGAGGTAGATATAAAGTAAATATTGAAAATTTGGGTGTGTGGGAGTAGAGGGGTCATGGTCACTATTGTGCAAATCAAATCATTACTATTAACTGTTCCTCTAGTAGTTTTACATCCTAATCCTCACAGTGAATCATAGAAACTAATGCTGATTAGTTGAGTCTCATTGAGTTTCTGCTAAGATACAACATTCATGGGCTGGGTATATTTTGTGTTTGATCATAATAAACTATAAACATAGAGGGGGTAAATAACCCAGTCTTTTCCCCTTTAAGAATATGAACTGTTTTAGGATTATGATCATCACCTGAAAGTAGTCATTATTTGTAGCACAGCATCCTCATTGTTCCCATGGGAGCTGAACAGTCTGCTTTTCTCTTGTCATCCCTAGGTAGCTCAGCATTTACTCTAGAGGAAAAGACCTGGGACTGGGTTTTATCTAAGGAGAAGAAAAAAGAAGCAGCATTACTTTATTATAAACCAGTTTGAAAACTAATATATGAGGAAAGACCTCACTTGTGCATAATGCAGTGTGCAAGCCAAGGCAATTTTCTTCAATAGGAAGGAGATTAAAACTGCTTTTTTTTTTTTTTAAACAGGCTCATGCACAGTTAGTTCGAGAAGTTGATGTGGAGAAGGTGTCTGCATTTGAGAATCCATATGTAGATGCAATAAAGAGTTTATGGAATGATCCTGGAATCCAGGAATGCTATGACAGACGACGAGAATATCAGTTATCTGACTCTACCAAATAGTGAGTATTCCTCCAGGAGGCCATTTGCGTCTTCCTCTTTCCTTTCATGGTTCTCTGCAATGAGACCTTCTCTGTCCTGTGTATCATATCTGATTCTGACTGCACAGTTAGAAAGTATAGATATTAAATTTGCGCCATGTAAGGGATTGGCCTCGTGAGTCAGGGAGACTTTTTCTTTTATTGTTTTCTGTTTGAAAATCAACTGAAGACTCTAGGAATCTGCATTCACTCACCCATCTCTTCCCCCAAATTGTAAACCAGTGGTTTTTCAAACATGTACTTCACTGTGATTTGAAATCTGATAATAATTTTAGTGCAAGTTGTTGATCTTATTCATGTGTTGGAAAGCACCTTCACAGAAGAACCTCTAACAAATACACTTGATTATGGCTTCTCAAACATCAGACTTCCTGGTTTCCAGACATAGGATCTTGACTGCTTTCTGGGACCCACTGTTTTGTTGATGGACAGATAGGTTTGCTTTTGCATGGAAATTGCGTGTGAGTCTAATTTTGCATGCATTCCAGAATTATTTTGTGAGCTGTCGATCACAGTCATGTGTCCTAGGAGGGATTTGCATCCTAGAGAGATTTGTTAATTCTCTAGATTAAATCTTGCCTAACAGAAAGAAAAGTAAAGATTTGGCAGTCACTGGATTAATGTAATCAATGTGGTCAGCAATGTAGATAATCGGGCGCCTGAAAAAATGGAATTTTGTTTTTTTTAGTGGTTTTTTTCAGATTTCTGTCTCCATTAATTATATTAACCCAGCATTTGCCTCTTCTCTTGGTTCTGGGCAGACAGAAGAAGGGGTGGGAAGTATTCGGCAGCCTTAGGCCGGTTTGTATGTTGAAATGACCCTCTGAATGCGGGCCGGACTGTAGGAGAAATAAGGAGCTCTGCATGCAGACTGACATTGCCTAACAGCACAGGGAAGATCCTAGAGCAGCCGGGCTCTGTTTTTGTAGTAAAGTAGATCACGCTCCTACCCTAGTTCTAGACATTTGTTTAAGAAAAGTTATGATTCAGGTCAGCCACAGAAATACTGCCCGGCCAAAACAGTACTTGGATTCCCAAGGTAAATCTGAATTACGTCATTCTGAAAAGTGACGTGAAATGCTCAGGAGACCGTGTCTGTCGTGTTTTAAGCCAATACCCACCCTGTGTGTCTCTGAAATGCGTGCTTCCTCGTTCCTGGCTTCCTTTGTCCTCCTTGCACACTGCCTGTCTTCCTCTTCTGTGCCTGCCTGCCTTCCTTCGCCTCACCCCCTTCCTCTTTCCCTCTCTCCTCTCCCCTCCCCAAGTTCCAACTGTGTAAGTTTCTGTAAGTACAGAGATGAGAAGATGCATTCAACTCTTTTTGGTTCCAAATTCTGCCCCCTCAACCTTTGACCAGCTGTCTTCCTTTCGCATTCTGCCCCCTCTGTCCTTCTGCTTCCTCTGCCATTTCAGATCTCATCCATCTCCCCACATTGCTGCTGTGTTTTACCCCTTGTCCTGTTCCTGCTCACTGCATCTTCCCCTGTCTGCTGGCTTCCTTACCCGCCCTCAGCTCTGATGCTCCTTCAACTCCTCCACTTCTCGATTCACTACTGTGATGCCTCTCCTGGCCCTTCCTGATGAAGAATTCCTCCATTAAAAAGTTACATTCACTAAGAAATCCTCTTGCCTCCCATCACTTCTAAATCCCTTTCTTTGTACTTTAGTGTAAAGCCTGTCTCTCCCCCTCCTCACCTGTTCGAGTCTCTACCTGTCACCTAGATCTCTTCTCCCTACAGAGAAGTCCTGTGACTAGGGCATCAGAACGCCAGTGTCCCATAATGATGTGCTTACCGAGTTAGGGCTTCCTGTTAGCAAACGGTTTGCCTCCTGCTCCTGGAATAAGCTCTCTGAGAGATTCCTATTTGCCCTGAGGACACCCGGGTCAGCTGCTGCAGCTGTATTCTTGAGACAAAGCTCCACCACATGTCTGGTGACATTACTTCAGCTCAGATTTGTGGATTCGTAGACAGGTACCCATCAGTTGCTTTAAGGCTAAGAGTTATCCGCAACAGTTACTCCAGGCCCATGTTAGCACTGTGATGCTGGGAAAAGCCACCATCTTAGACTTCGGTCACATGGGCTGCATCTGCCATAAAAACACGCTCAGTCTGTAGGCACATCCCTCATGTTAGAGCTCAAGACGCGGGGCAGCTGCAACAGGCTGATATCAACCCCTGCAAATGATGACTGTGTAAACAGTTCCAGTTTCCCCTGGAGGGGATAGGGAGAACTCTATTCTCTAAACATATACATGTGGACATGTGTGTGTGTGCACATACACCTATTGCATTTTGCATATATTTATGCAAAAGTAATAAAGTAAGTTATAACAACATGCCCCTATATACACTTGAGTGTGCCTCTTTAAAAAAAAAAGGACATTTTCTTCTATAAATAACACCATATTATACCTAAAAACTAATCATCAGTCCTTTTTATCGTTCTATATCCAGTTCATTTTCATATTTCCCAACTTCTTCCAAAATGTTCTTTAGAGCCAGTTGGTTTTAGGACAACACGCTGCATTTGGTTTTTATGTCCCTTAAGTCTCTTAATCTATTACAAGGCTGTTTAACATTTCACTGGCATGTCAGAAAGACTGGCCTGGATTGGGTCTGACTGCTGCCTCATTGCATGATTTAACTTTCTCCTCTGCTTTTTGGATTTTCTACAAACTGAAAGTCACATTTAAAGGCTTGGTTAGATTCCAGTTAAACACTGTGAGTAGAACAGACGAGATTTTGTGCACTGGTTTACCCGTCATTGCTAAGTTATGGTTCACCAGTGAGTAGAACATACTCTAAGTGGTCTCATGCACTGGTTTACCCATCATTGGTAAGTAAAGGTTTACCACAGTGTTTGGTTACTGACAGCCTCCACGATAAACTTACGGTTTTTTCCTTATGCCCCAAAAACAATCTGTGTGGGATGACTTTGTCATTGTGTAGTCTCCAGTTCCCCAGCAACTCTTCACCTGATGTTTTAATTCCAATCATTAAGTCTTGTCTGGTATAAGAATTCCAACTTTTATCAGTTGGTCTGAGTTGGTATTCTTCTGTGAAGTACGAGGTTTTCATCTCGATGCTATTTAATTATCCTGAAATACATTTTCTGCCAAAAAGTATATGTTTCAATCTTTTTGTTACAGTAATTTGTTACATAGACTAAATAGATGGTGACTGTATAATTTATCATCAAAACCAGGACATTTTGGAAGGAAAGGGTTACTATTAATCATTATAGTGAAATAGGTGTAAACTGGAAATCTCCTAGTCAAGCAGGAACATTTGATCATCTTAGCTAAATGAAACCTAGGGAGGTTTCATTTTTCTCTTTGTTTTCTCTAGAAGACTCTTGTTTACTTTCAGGGATTAGAACCAATCAGTTCCTGCCAATTATGGAAATTGTGTGTGGAAACCTGAGTTAGCTCGCCCCATGTTTCTGTTATCTTCATAGGATATTTTGGCACTTTTTGTATTATAGCTCAGTGCCCAAGATGCCTAGCTAGCCTGCCTTTAATTCCATTGTGCCAGGAGACCAAGTTATTGGAGTTACTTTATTCTTCCCGATCTTAGTCCTGGGCACATTCCTTTTCTTAGCCAGGAAAACCCTCCCAGCACACAGATAAGACCAATGGCCCTTTGGATTCACCCATTCACTAGTGTATTCCACATGTCATTCCAGTGTGGTCCAGGGAAGGTCCCTTGAAGTTCGGGAATAATGCTGATGAGGCTGTAGGTCACCTGTCTTGAGCATCACTCATTCAATACTGAATTCATTTTCACAGAGTGACTCAACACAATTCCTTTCTCTGAATTCGAGATAGTTGTTACCCTTTCCCTTTCTGACTTTTGTGTACTTTCCACTGATATATCTTTAGTATTTTATCCTGCATCTTTGCTTCATGTGGGGCTTCTATGTTGCTCTATCTTTATGATAAAAATTTTAAAACTTTGTTGATATTCTATATCTAATTTCCTAGACAGTATCACCACCTTACAGAATTTAAGACCAGCCTCCCTGAGTACTGACTGTCTCTCTTGTGGCTTTTCAGTTTAGACTTGGGGAACATGTAGATATTAATATCTGATCTCTAACAGTGTGAGAATCGGTGCCTGCCATGCACATCTGCTTAAAGTTTGCAGTTTAACAGCAGTTTTCTCCAGAAACCTGCTGGTTTGAGAGTCAGCGCAGGCCACTTGCCAGGAATACTGAGAACAGAGCCCGAGTATGCCTCTGTTCTTCTTTTCTCTCTGGAACTCCTGTTTATCCTTCAAGACCCAATTCAAGAGTCACACCCTCTGAAAGTCTTGCCCAATACCAGAGGTTATCTGTCACTATGCCATGTGTCTTTTTTTTTTAATGGCTGTGCTGGGTCTTCGTTGCTTCATGGGCTTTTCTTTAGTTGCGGCAAGCAGGGACTTCCCTCTAGTTGGGATGCATAGGCTTCTCATTGTGGTGGTTTCTCTTGTTGCCAAGCATGGGCTTTCGGGCACACAGACTTCAGAAGTTGCAGTTCCCAGGCTCTGGAGCTCAGGCTCAATAGCTGTGACACATGGGCTTAGTTGCTCTGTGGCATGTGGGGTCCTCCCGGACCAGGGATTGAGCCCATGCTCCTTGTTGGCAGGCAGATTCTTTGCCACTGAGCCATCTAAGAAGCCCTGCCCTGCATTTTAACACTTGTACAAGTCTCTTTTGTATCTGTTATCATCTTTATTGAAGTGTCTCTCCCCTCTGCCCATGGTTCTTAACATCAGGTGCTCATGTTTGACCTTTGCAAATGATTGTTCCATGAAATAGCACTTAGATAATTTCCACAGTTTCAGTGACCATGATGTAGGCACTGTCTGTCTTTGGCTGCAATAAATGAACTATGATGTGCCAGAGCTACAGGCATTTAAGTCTCTTTTTTTCTTGCCGTTTTTGAAGGTCTGGCATCCTTGAAAAGCTATTACCAA